CCCCGCAATCAAAAGGGAATCAGCCTCTGCGCAATAAATACTAGGTTTATGCCTCCTCTAACCTGCATCCTCGGCTGCTCCGATCGAGGATGCAGGTATGGGCATAGGTACAACGGTGGCTATTACGGGCGAAGCTCCGAAGCGCACTCCTGTCGACAGCGGTCTCATTAACATCTGCTGGCGGAGACGGTTGGGGAAACATGAACGCTGTTGTTCCAGGAAAGAAAACTTCTCGAGAGGAAAAAAGAACGGAGCTCTATTGGGTACGAGGGTTGGCCCACGCATTTCAGCCGGACCTGCAACAGCTACATATCCATGTTTACTGGCGTCCGCACCAGTATACGCCTCAGGTGTCCTCATTATCCTCGACCGGTTGAGGAATGCGGGTTCCAATTCTAATTGGGGGAGTGAGGTTCCTGTTGACGCTCGGAGGAGTGAGAGTTCCATTGGCAGTGGGAGGCGTGTCATTGCGCAGACTTGACCGCCGAGCCCTGGGGTGAGCATATCCTACAGCTAAGGAGTCATGCTCACTGCTGTTGGTGGCTGAGGGAACCCAGAGCCCGGCGGGTTGCCTACTCGCTTGTCTGGACAGCTCCTCGTTGATGTCAGATGGAGCCGCGCTTGAGAAGGACACTCTCCGATTGCGCCTGGGACTTGCGTTATCTCCGTTAACGGCAGAGCCCAAGGAGCCGTCCCTTAAAGATTCAGGAATTTGAGGAATTGTATGTGTAAGGGTCGGGTCGTCATACCAGGGCGTAGGACGCCGGGGTGGTGAGAAGGAACTGGGGGTAGCCGGAGGTGAAGGACTATGTTCGCGATGGGCTCCGTCAGTCGCGGAGTGGTTGAGAGGCTCGAAGGAGATGTTTGAGTTGTTATTTATCGAGAGGCTTGGTAGTTCCTGGGGTGGGACGTTGTTTTCGTCGTTCGTGCCGTCTGTCTGGGTGCCTCGCGTGGTGGTAGTGGGAGGATCGTCGACGAGGGACTGAGGGCTTCCCACAACCGCAGTTGAAGGATGGCCATTCCCTGTTTCTCCATGAGGAGGGTTTAAGCTTGAGCTTGAGCTGGAGGATCTCCATGGCGTATTGGTCCGTTCCCCGAGCTCAATGTCTTCAGGAGCGGGCTCACGAAGCCCCTGGCCTCTGTCCCTGTTTTGATTGATCCAGTGACATAAAAGACCAAAGCATGCCAGCAACAGCGCAAGAACAAGTATTCCAAGAAATACTGCACTGGCAATCGCTGCACTCCCCACATGCGGACCAGTATCGAGAGACGGAATTTCCTGGTATTCTGTCACTGTCACAACCGGGATACTTGATGTGATGGTAACATTTTTCAGCCCATTCATAGAAGTTGTTGAATGGCCACTTGGAGTAGTGGCTAGCTGGCTTGGAGTAGACTTGAGACTGATATTCATTGTATATCCCTTTATTGACAAGAGGAGAAAAGTTAGCCACAATTCACAGCCAGAAGATTAACGAGGCTTACTTACAAGTTCTAATTTGTGTTTGGAATTTGTCTGTAAGGATGGAGCAGAGAGCAGATGTTCGGCCTGTCCGTATCAAAAGATTAGTCCAAGCCCAACTAAGGAGAAGAAATAGTAGAAAATGGGTACCGCTGGTGAAAGCAAAGGTCCCCCGTTTCTTGAGGTGAGTATATAGACAGAGAAACTAATCTAGAGATCAACATACCAGGTTGAAGAGCAGACAACGCGAGAGGTTTCTGGATAATTGTGGTTTGAAGCAGGTATAATGCTTTAAAAGGGAATACGTCTCCACCCACTTGCTAGATTGGAGATAGAATTGATTGAATAGAGAGGCTGTGGGAATGGGTTCTAGGTTGGAAGTTAGATGATTGATGTGATAGCAATGGAAAGATGATGGAGACTGGATTGCTGAATTTGAAATCTGTAGGTTGTGAGATGGGGAGAAGAGAGAACAAACTTGGTGGTTGGGTCCTTTATCGAGGAAAGATTTCTCCAGATGATTACGGCTCTGGTCTTCCTCCAGTTATCTATAAATCGTCCCTTCCCTTATGGAGGAGAGGTAGTGATTCACAGCCTAGACTCACAAGTTAAAGGGAAAGAAGTATTCCTAAACTACTAATGAGATACCCTTTCCGTCATGGACATCTCATACTTTTCTCTATAGAGTATTGGTCTTCTATTTATCTATAAATCGTTCCTTCCCTGATGAAGGAGAAGTAGTGATTCACAGGCTGGACTCACAAGTTAAAGAGAATAGAGTATACTTAAACTAGAACCGATGGGATGCTCTTTGCTTGTGGGTGTCTCACATTTAACTCCAGTTGGATGTCCCCAGTCTCTTTTGTGCCATTACTAGACAATACCCGTCTTATTGTCCTATAATTGTATGCTCACTACTAGATGGAAAATTCATGGACTCCACTGAAAGAGTCGACAAGTCTCTCGGTGTCCGTCTTGTTATCTCATGTTCTTCAGGGATCCAAGTCCGTCCATCTTCGCTTACAACTGGTGCCGAGAGCTGGGTAGCACCGTAGGGCCCAAGGTTATCATCACTAGATACGGAACTGAAATCTTCTCGTTGAAGATAGCCATCACCTCGGTCGAAACAGGCCTTCTGGCGATGAAGGCACGGCCAGAGAGTCGATGGTGCGACTTGATATGTATGGAATCGGATAGGATGGGAGAGGGGCTGCGGGAATAGAGACCTGAGGAGGAAGACCGTATAGGCCTGACTGAAACCACAAATACGAGCGGAATCAACGAGACCGTGTAGTGACTTGAGGGGGTTGCATATGCTCAGGTATCCGTCGGGGCAGTATTCAACTGAGTCAAGCGAACGGTTAGGTTTGATCTTGGACGGCAGATGAGGAGAGGTCATCATACCGGATGGGATTATCATTTCTTCTGAAAACTGGCCACCGGGTCGAACCCATAGTACCTTCGACAGAGGAGGATGAAACTGGACATGGTCGAAATTCCTCGTCTCTTTTCTTGTACATGGGCAAAGTCCTTGAGGAGTTCATTCAAATTCCTCGTACCTGGACGCATAAGGTGGTCTGATACGCCAGCACCGAAACCATGCCGCGTCATATCAATCTCGACTGTCAAGTTCTGAATATAAGGCCCATACTTCTGCAGCCATTTGGTAGACAATGGGCTCAGACGAGGTCCGATATACGGGTTGTAAATGACGTGGAATCGCCGAACCATGAGGAAAGATATTAACGCGTCGCTTCGGAACTCAAAATTTACTTCGAAGTAAGGCTGAAGAGATGCCGATGAGTCGAAAAGTGATGTAAACTCATTTCTGCGCCACACGCCCTTGGCCCATTTGGTAGCTGTAAGGAGGACGGGCTTCTTGGCTGGGTCATGACCGATCACATATTGCCAGATCAAAAACCGAACCTCAGCGGGAAGAGAAAAGTAGTCGTGTCTCGTCTTCACCGGCAGGCGCTTGTGTTCCCGGAGAAACAGGTTTGTAGACTTTCGAAACTCGATAGCTTTGTCCGGGCCCCCGATGTGCCTGGGGTACTGATGGAACACAATGTCGACCGTGCGATGCCACGGGGGAACTTCAACGACTTGGTCCTCGTCCGATCTATCCGAATTTATTGTCAAGGGAGATTGGATGTGCCCTTGAGAGAATCCTCGGAACAGATTTGATCTGATAGATGTTGGGGTGGTGTTCGAGGACGGCGATGGTCGTACCGGGGTAGAGACGGAAGCTCGATCGATAAGTTGAGATAGCGATGGCTTTTTCTTTAGTCGCTGCTTTAATGAGGACTTGGCAGAGGTGCTGGATGTGAGGGACGCCCCAGAACTTACCACTCTTGGGGCGGAAAGCGGAGTGATGGGTAGATATTCTGAGCTACTGATTTTAGCGTCCATTGTGCGGTGGGACTGTGATGGGTCGAGGGAGTAAGTTGTTTTGGTAGGTAAGGAAACAAGGCGAGTCACGCTCTTTTGTATGCCGCGGATACGACCTGACTTGTTGCCCAAGATTCAAAGAACTCATTGATGCGAAAATGGCAAAGGCAGGTGACGGATCCTTTGTCTGAGTCAGATCCTGTGACAGGGTTGGACTTCTTCCAGGATTACCATTTAAGTATTTCCTATTCCTTTGATCCACCTGTGGAGAGATGCCACATCTGTGATATTGGACTCCAAGGTCTCATATCGACTGGAAACAGCCCAAGCTCCAGCCACTGACCATGGCCGAGGGGCAATGCCAAAGGCAGGTGCGACCGGAATAGGTGATGTCTCCTCAAAGTTTCCGCCAGTTCAGGAATTCCCACATCTGAACACATCTCATCCTTGATTCCGATTATATACCCGAAATATGGATATTAATCGGTGGAGATCGAAAGTGTCGGGCTCAACTTACACACGACACCGACGCCCAAAACGACCTACCTAGGAAGGGTGAGTATTAGGCAAACAACAGTACAATGAATGGCCAAACTTCCGAGAAGAAGGGGTTATAAGAATAGAAAAAAATCAGTTAACATCGTTTACAAATTTGGCTGGTCAAAACTAGAGCCGTTCTACTGAGTAGCGTCCGAGGGTCTTTGAGCTTGCCTTGGCTGGGTCCCAGCCACGGACTACAACAGCGAAACTAGAATACAATTCTCGAATGAGATGACTATATAGCCTGTATAAGAGCAAAATAGCTTCTCAAATTATCAAGACAATCCTATATTCAAATTGTTAGAGAAAAATCGTATCGAGGGTCGTGACAAGGTGAGCGAAGCACCCACGAAGCGTCGTCGTCGTGATGTCGTTCATTATCACCACGTGACCTGTTGCCACCCTTGTGGCGATAAGATAACAGATTGTGGGGGCGGGGTATCTTTTTGGTCTCTTTTTTTCTGGCAGCTTCCCGAAGGTCCAGTCGAAGCAAGAAATATTATTTATCACCTCAATATTTAGCTGCACGACCATCTGCTTGCCTCCCTTGGTTCCCCAGACCGCCGAATTATTGGATTTTTTAGGTCCTTTTTTCTTGCAAACGATAACCATGTCGGCCCCCGTACCAAGAAACTTTGACGCTGAGAATGCCGATAACCTCGAGGATGTATGCATGATCGACCCCTTACCTGAGGCGCAGTGCAGCAGCTAACTTCGTATCCAGATCGAGAGGCAATTCGCCGTCAAGGGTTCGTTTCGCAACACTATCTTCGTGTCGGACCTCGGTGCTAACCCTTTTTCGCAGCCGTCCAGCACATGCAGACCTACTGGTCGATCCTCGAACGAGTCAAGGGCTCGGCGCTCCGCCTGACGCGCTGGGACGACGAGATCTACGAGCACCTCAAGGAGGCGTTCCCCGAGTTCGATCCTGCCGAGACGATTGATGAGGATAAGATGAAGAGCAAGGAGGGCAAGGAGAGGTGGCGGAACTTTATGATGAAGTATGACAAGAAGGTTGGAGAGTTCAACTTTGGAACGATGTTGAGGTCGAACCCCAAGTTTGAGTATGGCCGTGAGGAGACTATTTTTGGTATGCGGCGCTGTTTCACTACACCTTCTTTTTTTCTCCTCTTTCATTTGTCTTTCTTGGTTGGAGCAGTACTGATGTTTGAACAGTCCCCAGGATGCAGTTCTATGCTATTGAGATTGCGAGGAATCGCCACGGCTTGAATGACTGGATATGGGAGCAGGCTCAGAAGGAGAGCTCGAAATGAAGCTCGGGAGGAAAGAATAGCCTTCACGGACGCTAATTGAAAACGATGCCATGATACCATAATAGAGACGGGACATAAAAAAAACGACGATGGACGGAAGTGCCGGTTTTACGCGGCATGTGCGGCTTGCGCCGAGGTTCAGAAATGGATTTTAGATATGGAAAGCCAATATATCCCTGGCTAGGTGGGAATAATCCCCCTTGTTCGAATCGAGTGCAAGCTTTGGAGTGTTAAGGCTCGCTTACGGCCTTCGATGAGATGGACCAAATCGAGTCGAGTTTCGGATCATCTTGTGCGAGGCGCCACCCCCGATCTACAATGTACTATTTCTAGCATCCTAGCTCGTATTTCTTCAAGCCTAAAAGCAGTGTACCGACCACATCGGCGAGAGTCGCTGTTTTGGGCCGTTTCACGATTTGAAAGTCACTATAGAAAACTGGCACGGTGTATTTTTTTCCCCGTCATGGAAATTCCGTCTCTCCAGCAGCCAAGGGGCAAATCAAAGTTCTCATCTAGTTTTCCTTCCCTCGGCACCACCATCGCCCTGCGACACATTGAGGGGTCGCTGATCTCAACCGCCCTGTGAAAGCGAGCATTTTCTAGTATTGAAATGCAGCCAGTATTTATAGAGCTTAGTCTGCACTGTTGACTTGTGTCTTTCGACGACTAAAAACACCAAGGGAGGAAAAAGCGAGGCTCAGACTTACAATGGACGTTCTTCCCCGCACCTCCGATTCCAGGTCCGACAGCACCGGCCAAGTTCCGGATCAGGACCCACATTTATCGGAGACCAGTTCAATATTGCCAGACATCGACAGTATGAACCTGCAAGAGATTTACCGATAGATTTAGTCTACATAGTCTACTAAGGATATATATATTTTCTGATCTTAGAATAAAATCTAAATATTTATTATTTTGTTATTTTTAGATTCACTATATGATGTAACTAAATGATGTATCAATCTTTGTTCTCTTTGTTCTTGTCCTACCGACCAATGTGAAGAAAGCCTCGAAGCAAGGGAGACGGTTACACTCTCCCTTCAAAAGTTCTCCCGAGTCGTAATGCATGCATACCAGTGCACAGCCATGGCATGCAGGTCATGAGCCATTCCTTTGACGACTTACCAACTTCCTTCTCATACCAGGCGCTTTCATCTTGTCCCATTCTCATGGTAAACCTCTCTTCATCCATCTTTGATCTCATTTCACCCCCAATGCCCCATCCCAAACCTAAACGGACTACTCGGCTAGCGCTGCCGCCAAGATGAATGTTTTGAAGAAGTTATTCCGGAGAAAGAAGAAGAAGCAGCAATTCAGAAGGAGGAACCAGCCGCCCAGGAAGAAATTCCCTCCGCCGAAGCCATCATGGAAACACCTCTTCGCCTTCACTACCCAGCACGACTCAGCAACCCTCTCCTTCAGCCTCCTCACCTGTTTAGCCACCAGTGGTCTCAAGGCCTTCCTGCCCATCGTTTACGGCTTCATCTTCGATGCCATTTCCGAATTCGGCTCGGGTTCCGTGGAAGGCAGGGAGTTCCTAAAGGTGGTGGTGAAGTGGGCCGTGGTATTGGTAGGCATGGGGGTCGGAACTTGGATAGCTAATGGCTCCAACATGGGTGCTTGGATTCAGTTTGGAGAACGGCAAGCGAGGACTGCGAGGAAGGAGATTTTCAAGAGTCTCTTGGTGAAGGACATGGCGTGGTACGACTCGCAGGCCGACGGGATATGGAGTCTACTAACTCGAATCGAATCGTATATCGTCCCTTTCTCCCCCGTTGTTATCCGACGGTAACATAGAAAGCCATAGGAGTAGAGACTGACTTGGTGACAAACCAGACAAACTCGCGAGCTCCAACTAGCAACCTCACAAGTCTTCGGCCTCCTCATGTCCGACTTGCTCACAGCTATAGCTTCCATCACCGTAGCCTTCTATTTCTCCTTCCGCCTAACCTTCGTCCTCCTTACCACCGTCCCCATCTCATTCATCATCCTGCAGTTTGTCGTCTCTCCTCTCGCGCCCGCCATCCAAGCCCAAAAGCAGCACCTAGCAGAAGCATCCAAGCTCGCCTCCGCCTCCATCACCGCCATCGACCTCGTCAAGATCTTCAACGCCTTCGACACAGAGACCTGGCATTACCTCAAGGCCATACAAAGAGCCGCCGCTCAGTATCTCATCCAGGCGAGGTGCAATACCCTCCAAATCGGCTATGGGCAGTTCTTAACCATTTCGCTATTCTTTGCCGGGTTCTGGTATGGTGCTGCGTTGGTCGATTCGGGGGCGAGTCCGGGAAGTATTCTTACTACTTTTTATGCGACGTTGTTGGCTTTTGAGGGGTTCGAGTCCCTTATGCCGCAGTGGTTGGTGTTGTCGAAGGGGATGGCTGCTGGGTTGGAGTTGAGGGAACTTACGAGGAATGATGAGGTTATGGGGAGTGATAAGGAAGGACATTTCATCTCGTGGCCCTCCAGCTGCGTAGGGCACGTCACACTTGAGAATGTGAGTGCTTTCTACTCAACTATTAGCTCGGCTTTTATTCCCTTTTCTAAACCGCTGTCGATGAAAATTCCAGGTAAGCTTCGCCTACCCGTCGAATCCGACAAAACAGGTCCTCGCTCCATCGAATTTCGTCTTCCCAGCCGGGCACCTCACATTCCTCGTCGGCCGCAGCGGCTCAGGCAAAAGCACCATCGGCAACCTCATCCTCCGATTCTACGACCCGGACAGCGGCGAGATCCACGTCGACGGCCGACCGCTAAAGACACTCAACCTCGAATGGCTCCGAAAGAACGTGACGTTGGTGCAGCAATCAAGCGTCTTGTTTAACGACACCTTTTTCCAAAACATCGCACTCGGAGACCTTGAAGACCCGGACTCCGTATCGAGAGAACAAGTCAAAGCTGCGTGTGAGGCGGTGCTGCTTCAGTCGACCCTAACGTCGTTACCGCAGGGCTGGGATACCATGGTTGGACCCGGTGGACATAGTTTGTCCGGTGGCCAGAGGCAGAGACTTGCGCTCGCGAGGGCGAGGTTAAGGAATACACCGGTGTTGGTCTTGGACGAGGTCACGAGCGGTCTGGATCGGTTGAGTCGTACGCTTGTGATGGAGGCGTTGAGGGAGTGGAGGAGGGGGAAGACTACTATTGTCATCACACATGATGTTTCTCAGATCGAGGAAGGGGATTACACCTACGTGATGGACAAGGGTGAAGTCGTGGAAGAAGGACACAGGAGCCAGCTCCTGGAGAACGAGGATGGCCTTTTCGCTTCGCTGGTCGCCGCTGCTAGGGATGATGCCGATACAAGCGAAGACTCGTCCCCCAAGGAGGCATCGACTCTAGAATCGCCTCACAGCGAAGTCCCTGCATCACAGCCAGAAAAGCCCAAGTTTGCTAAGAACCGGCTCTCTATTCGTCTCCTAGAGTCCATTGAACGTGACTTCAGACATTCTCGCCAAGGTCTACCTAGAGACCCAGTTCTTGTCGGGAACCTAGGCTACTCGAACAGTGTTAGGACCGAGTCTATGCCGCAAAGCGACGATTTTAGGGACCATCGTAGGCACCCGCGAACGCTAGCCAAAGGACCACGAACTGAAAGCACCATGTTTAAGAAAGGTGGAGCGTTGGATAGCGAAGACAGCCTCCACTCGAAGAAGAGGACTGTTCCTCCCGAACACGACACACCTCGCGCCTCCATTGAGCTTCTCGAGATCATGGGCCGTTCGATCCAAGACTCTCGCCGCAAATCATCGTCCGGCATCAGGTCATGGCAGAGCGACACACAAAGCAGCCCTCCAGGAGAAAAGGGCAAAAAGAAATCGAAAAATGGCCCGAAAGATGAAGAAAAGAAAAAGGGCGAATACGACATCAACTCGCCCTTATCGACAATCATCCTCACCGTCTGGCCCAACCTCACCAACTCCCAACGTCTCGCCTTCCTCACAGGTCTAACAACATGCATCATCACTTGTGGCGCCAACCCAGCCTTCGCATACTGCCTCGCGCAGCTCCTCAACGCGTTCTGGGCGCCCGAGAACCGTATGGAAGTCGGCAAGCCCTGGGCGCTTGCGACGCTTGGGATCGGCGTCGCGGCGGGGCTCATGGACTTTGTCACGAGGTTCCTGATGGAGTATACGGGCCAATGCTGGATTAATGCTCTACGCATGGAGGCCCTTTCGCGTATACTGCGACAGCCGAAGACGTGGTTCGATACGTCTGAGAATAGCCCCGGGAAGATTAGCGAGTGTTTGGATCGGAATGCTGAGGAGATGCGAAATATTGTTGGGCGGTTCTTGCCTAGCATTCTCTTGGTGGCGGGGATGGTCACGGCATCGATTACATGGTCCCTCGTCGTGTCGTGGAAACTTACGCTCGTGGCTCTCTCTACGCTGCCGGTATACATCGGGACGCTGAACTTTCTGTCGCACATGGGCAGCAAGTGGGAAGCCAGATGCAACGACGGGGCTGAGGTGGCCAGCAACGTGGCTCGGGAGGCTTTCATTAACATTCGAGTGGTGCGAGCGCTGACCCTCGAAGCCTACTTTTCCAAGAAGCACGAAGAGGCAACGGCGAAACTCTCGGAGCTCGGCCTCAAGAGGGCCGCATACACGGGCTTCTGCTACGGATTACAGCAGTCGATAAACCTCTACGTGACAGCTCTCGTCTTCTATTACGGCGCGTACCTTCTCGCGGGCGCGAAAGAGATCCCCCTACAGGACGTGGTGCAGGTTATTAACTTGCTCCTGCTATCCCTCGGCATGGCGTCGGTGATTCTTTCGTCGATGCCACAGATTTCCGCGGCACGGGCGACAGCTATTCAGATGCTCAACTATGCGAACTTGCCGTTAAGTTCGTCCTATGAAAGTACGGGGACGAAGAAGGTGTTCACGCCGTTTCCGATATTGTTTAGAGGTTTGTCGTTTGCGTACCCTTCGCGACCGAGTCAGCAGGTGCTTAGGAACCTGGAACTCCGGATCGATGCGGGGACAACCACGGCAATT